AAAAAAAAAAAAAAAAATCCATAAAAGAAATAAAATCAGCTCTGTTGAGGTATACACCAAGCTTCTGTGTATATTTCAGTAAGTTTTGCCAAAACTGTTCAGCCATATAACCAGCAGTCATGGTACAGACTATTGAGTATAGGCTCTCGAGCCTTCCTTGTCCTGCTCTGACTCTCTTGAGCAAGGGACTAAAACCTCCTAGCACCATTTCCTCGCCTGTGAGAAGGGGTGGCCTTTCTTCTGTTACCAGATTGTTTGGAGGAGTGTGTCCAAACACAGTGCCTACCAGGTGACTGCACACAGCAGTCTGCAGTCAGTGTGGTCTGTGTGTTAAATGGGATGATGCTTAGAAAGATCATAGTCCGCTGCCTAGTACATGCGGTTCTCAGTCGGTAAGAACTCTGCATAGACTTGCTTGTCCAGTTTCTTCGGTCTTCTTCTTGCTTGTGCTCGTTGATGTTTCCCCCTCTTGGAAGAACAAAGAAGCTATGACCCCACCATGCTCTGTGTCCATCTCCTGTTCCCCTCTCACACTTGAGAAATGGCCACAGGGATTTCTGTAAGGGTTTAAATTGATCGAGTGGCTGGGGAGAATCATAAATCAGTCTTTCTCTGATTGGATCCCAGGAGAGAAAGGGAAATAGCTCACTTTAAGGGGACCACCCCAGCATGGCAACAAGAATGTTTGTGTTCATGAAATGGAATTAAATTTTATGCTGGGAATCACATCCCAGCCCCCCAAGGATGGCCTACTGAAATAAAGGTTAAAAGTATTTCACTTATCAATTTTAATTGATTACATTGCTAGTTGAGATCACTTAACCGAGCCTTTTGGGGAGTTGGCCATTAAAAAAGTAATGGCTATCTATCTTTACCCAGCCCGATTGCAAATTATGTCTTTTGCTAAAGAGGGTGGCGTCCTGAAATTACTAGAGATTATGGATTTGAAAAGCACACAGTATTAGTATAAGATGCAGTACTGCTCTTGGTTGGTTTCTCTTTAATTTTTAGTGACTTCCTGCCATTAGAAGGGTGAAAATCACTGTGCTTTGCATTGCACAAAACGCGTTCCATGTGTACCAACCGTAGGTGAAGGCTGAAAGACTGGAAGCTGGGCTTGTTTCTGTCTCCCTGACAAATTTGAGGAAGCTGACTCAGGGAGGATACTTGGGACTGGTCAACTGTTATCTCCCTGATAAGCTTAAAGAAGAGCAGGCTGTACACAGCAGGAAGCGGTGACATAAAGTGTACTGACCAGCCTCACACTTTGATAAGAAACCACACATAGAGAACACTCTGAGCACCGCAAGTGTTTTCTGGCCTGCAGCAGGTCTCTGGGCTCCCTGTGGCAGGTGAACTCAGGCTCAAAATGTTCTTGTACCCTGGAGTTTCAGGGATGTGGTCACCACTCAGGAAAGCAGCGTACTGGCTGTGCATATAGCTTCTTGGTTGTCGATGTAGAGGACAGTCACATCGGGCAGAGGCCACAAGCCAGCAGCCATGTGGGCCATGTGTCTGAAGAAAAGAGGCAGAGAGGAAACAAAGGGGAGGAAAGGGAAGGAGACTAGGTGAGAGAGATGAGGTTTTTAGAGAAAATAACGTCATGATTTTCTGTACACCCAGTGTTATCCTAAATCATTATTATCGTTTTGCTAAGTTGTATTTCATCTGCCCACCCTCTCTCTCTTTAAAACACACCACCTAATGGCTAAGTGTATTAAAGTAAATGGAAGGGCTCATATTATTACATCTCTAAATACTATCCTAACAGATAAGGTCTTTGCACCACCCTTCTCAATTGAATTGGTTGCCACCATTTGTAACTGTGGATGCGGGGCCAGGGGCTTTGGGAGAGGGAGCTGCCGACCTGGCCCTTTTGACGCAATTCAGCTGCTTCTGGTGTGGGTGGAAGAAATAAACTCTTGTGACCTTTCCTGGGGTCTTCATGCTAACGAGGCTTAGTGCCTACCTTTGTACGACTCCGGAAGACCTTCCAAGGAGAGGTCACTGGGAGGATGAACTAAGATCATGTGTGTCAAGTTCACAGCACCGTGCAGGGCGCATAGCAGGTGCTCAGTGAAAGGTGGCTGTGGTCCCTGCTGCACTTGTTGAGTAGGGAGTGTATCTCCCCTGGGCTCCACAGGGTAGCATTTTTGCCTAAACAGTGTTCTCAGGAGTGAGTATATTTGGGACTGTTCAGATCATTCCATCACTCGCATGATAGCACTGTTCTGCAGATAGGAAAGATGGCTCTGGCTGCTTTGGCTGGAGATGGGGGCTGGACTCCCCACCCCGTCCCTCCAGCCTGGGCCTGCTAACCAAGAGTGCTCCAAGGACAGGTGGGCTTTGAGGAGAGACTATGGTTCCTGCCTGGGATTGGCCCTGAGCCTTCTGAAAAACCCCTACTTGTCCCCAAATAACATGGGCCATCACAGTCCTACAGAAATTCACCCATCATTCAGAGACCCTAGAGATAGCAAGCAACTGGGCCCATTAAATTTCCAGTTCCTTCCAGTGGCATTTGTGTGGCACTTGACATTCACACAGTTCTAGCTGTAGCTTGTGTTGTGGGCATTGAATCTTGTGTTCTGATTTTGAAAATCCATTCATGAAATCCATTTAATGAAAGTCCATTCATTTAGCTATTTATTGTGCACTCACTATATGCCAGGAACAGCACCAGGAGCTGGGAAGTGATCACGAGCAAAAGCCAGATGAAGCCTCTGGTTTTCTGCTTTCAGGTTGGGGTAGAGGAGGGTGATGTGGGGAGTGGACCACTAATCGGTAAACAGGTAAATGCAGAGTTGCAGGCTGATAAGGTGGCTCTGTGAAGGTAACGAGCGGGGTCCCTGCTGGAGGACACCTGGGACATAAGTCCCATTGGCCGGTGAAGGAAGGCCTTTCTGAAGATGGGCTGTGCCAGGAGGGCCAGATGTTTCTATGAGAAAATGCAGAAATAAGGATGCTCAAGGTGGGAGAGAACTCGGTATGTTCCAGGACCTTCAGGGAGGCTGACTTGGCCAAATCTCAGCCGCAGACTTTCCCACGGGGAAATACGTGCTGAAGGTACAAGGGGTGAACAAAACGTACAGTGACTGTTCAGAGTTTTAGGAAATTTACTATAATAAATGACACATGACCATTAATCCCCCTCAAAATACACCCCTCACTTTGCACACACTTATCCCATGTTCTCGCCCCTCGCTTTCTGAAGCACCCCTCTTTATAAAATGTGATCAAAACTATGGTGACTACTGCTGCTGAGTGCCATTCAGCAGAAAGGCCGCCTGGTGGAAACATTAGTGTGTCCTTGTCTACCTCGTTCACCAGATCATGCAACTGCTGTTTCTTCCCCAAAGTCCAAATGACCATGAAAGATAAACGTTTTGAATCATTTCAGGACAGTGAGTCAGCCATGACAGTGCAAGTAAAGACACTCAGAAAGAGAACTTCCAGAACTGCTTCAGAAATTGGCAAGAGCAATGGCATAAGCGTGTTCAAAGCAAAGGGGGAGTGCTGGGGGGAG